CCAGCACAATTACATGCTAGAAATGGTTAAAAATAAAGATTTGAATGAAAGCACTTTTGAAATGACTTACTTTACTTACTTTACTTTATTTATAAAAAATTGGGCACCTGGGCCGCGCAGCGCCCCCTGTCCCATACATCTAGAAATTTACATAAGTTTAAAGTGATAACATTTTGAGTTTAGCAGTCGATGTGGTTGCCAATACAAAATTACAAGCATTTTGCTTGGGTAAATAAACATTTGAATAACGAAACTAAATTTACACATATAAATATAAGCATATAAATATAAACATAATTTGAAAAACTTTTGAAATGAAGGTAAAATATTGTAACTATAATTACTTCTATAGTGATTTAATAGTGGTAGCTAACTATTATTATTTTTTTTTTGTCATAAAAAGTTTGAAATAATCCCTCTCCGTTCTAGTTACTTGCTTAAATTTTTTTTGTGCTTGCCAAAACTGTGAACTTTTACGCTTTTTAAGGAATTATACCTTTTGATTTATTAGCTATCAATAAAAATTAAAAAAAACTTTGATACTGAAACGATCACAATCATTGCAGTAGTAACAAATATTTTACTTCTGTTAAAAATACTGCTATTTTTCTATTACTCAGAAGAAAACTGAAAAGTCTTGAAAACTGGGAATTTTTTAAAGATTTAACTTTTTAAAACGTGAAAAAATGTATGCCTTTTCTTGTTTTAAAATTCGATCTATGAATATACTGATCACCATGACACATATGCAATTCAAATGGATATAAAAGTTCAGATCATCACGAGGTCATTTTTTTAGTGTCAGAAAAATTGAAATAAATAATCTGCAAACTATAATCATGCCTACCAACTTTTATGCTTTTGAAAGAGGTGTTTTTTTTAGTGGAAGGGCAAAGCCAATTAAATTGAAATTGTATTTTGGTGTTTCGTAAAGATATTGCGAACAATTAATACAGGAGAGTCAACTGCTGTGCTTTCTGTAAAAGTTGTAATAAATTCATAGAGAATTAAGTAGTGAAACTTAGAATAAGGTTAATTACGATCACTCTTTAAAATTGTCACCACGGGATTATTGCAAAAAAGTTGCATTTTATAAGATACTTTGAAATTTTGATTTGTAGTAGTGAAAAAATTACCTACAATGGAAATTACTGAACTGAAAACAACTTAAATATCGTTTCCAAAAGGGATGCCAACTGCTCCGGATTCGACATAATAGTTTAAAAAATCTGTAGAGAACTACGAAGTGAAATTTGCATTTTTTTTTTTTTTTTTTATTTCTGTCCATTCGTCTGTNTGCATTTTTTTTTTTTTTTGGTTAATTTCGGTAACTTTTTAAAAGAATCAACACGGTTTAACTGTAATAAAGTGGCTTATCACATAAGCTATATTTATTTAAAAGCAGTAAATGCTTAAAATCTTTAATGTAATCGTATTTTGCGAGGTACCTGCCTTGCGGTACTTGTCTCTTCATCGAAAAATATTTGCCTACAGGCATATTCATCTGCTGTCCGGAGCAAGTTGTCATCTCTACACCAGTAGAAAATCTTATTTTGCAAAGCGGATTAGGTCATCACCTCCTACATCAAGAAGCCTCCACACGGTCTTTTATAAGTAGTCCGCGCAGACTGTATAAAAAGTGAACCAGTTGTTCGCATGAACCCAAAGCCTCTTATAAAAGTAATACAGAGTGAGGATGAGGTAGCTTCTCAAATAACGAAATAAATTATTACAGAGATTCGTATTANCGCAGACTGTTTAAAAAGTGAACCAGTTGTTCGCATGAACCCAAAACCCTTTATTAAAGTAAATGAGAGAAATTTATCATATATATTTGAGAATTGAATCTGTAGTGGTTGACAAGTGAATAAGACAAACCAGTAATATTCATAAATAAAGTAAATTTTTAGTCATATATTTACTTCTACTTCAGAGATGCCAACTGCTCCGGACACGCTAAAATATGTACTTATAAAAACGGTAAGTAAATACAAAGTAAATTTTGCAAATATTTGACTATTTCTACTTGCTTTTTAATGGGTACAACATAACATAAGTACTATAAAATGGTGAATTATATAAGCCTGCGAATTATTTAGAAATAGTGGTGGATAACAATCTACTAAATTGAATTTATTAATCCAAGAGTCACAATTGATAAACTACCACTTTAAATTATATATTTGCTGTCCGGAGCAAGTTAGCATCTCTGCCACTTTCTTATTTTAATTATATTTTGTATTAAATGACTCGTTCAGGAAGTGGATATCCTTCACAGTGGTCTGATCGGACTACCTATGAAAAACCGTGTGGAGGTTTTCAGTTATAAGAGGCGTTGGTTAGGTTAGAGTTAGCATACCCTCCAACTTATGAGGATTTTGAAAATAATTCTTTCTAGTGGTAGCGAACCAAAGTAGAAATTTTTAAAGCAAATGGATCTCTCATAAAACTTTTATCAGAACTTAAGAATCTAGCCATATGGCCTGCACTTTTATAAGTAATAGTGGACAAGTTACGCTAAAATTAATTTTTTTTTAAATATTAAGACATTAATTTTGCTACCGTCTGAAAAGAAGATTTCTGAAACTACGGAAATTCCGTAGCAGTTGGAGGGTATGGGTTAGCATTTGTATTAATGACACTATCAGGTTGCAAGCAAAAGCCTATTGTATATGCGTTTAAATTACTCAAATGTATAATGGTAATTAAAATCATTGTAAACTGTATTTATTTAATGAAGAATAATAGATGTGATTCAATAGATTTTCTACATTATTAATTATAAAAATAAAATCTTCGCGGAAAATCGGAAGAGTCGGCAAATATGTATAATTTATCCTAAATGGATTGATAATTTTTGTATGTAATGTACAGTGCCAACGACTCCTATAACTGAAAGCCTCCACACGGTATTTAATAGGTACTCCGAGCAGACAACGGTTCCTATAACTGAAAGTCTCCACACGGTTTCTTATAAGTAGTCCGATCAGAGCACTGTGAAGGATATCCACTTTCAGATCGAGTCACTTAATACAAAATCTAGTTAAAATAAGAAAGTGGTAGCAAACATATGACTAAAAATTTGTTTTAGTTATGAATATTATTGGTTTACCTTATTCACTTGTCAACCACTGCAGATTCAATTCTCAAATATATATGATGAATTTCTCTCAATTACTTTTGTAAAAGGTTTTGGGTTCGTGCGCACAACTGGTTCAATTTTTAAATAGTCTGCGAGGACTACTTATAAAAGATCGTGTGGAGGCTTTTTGATGTAGGAGGTGATGACAGTGCACAGAAAAAAAAAGGGGGGGGGCAACGGGACACCCTAAAATAATTTCGGATCATCGGATTTTCACGTGCTAGGACTCAATCTTCATGCCTTGATGGGCTGACCTCAAATATGCTTATTAATTAAAGCTGATGGTATTTTTAGTTTCGAAATCATGCACAAAAACGTACTTTTTATGAACAAACATACCTTTATTTTTTCTGAAGGATAGGTTCTTCGTAATTTCAAAATAACCACAATCTGGGATATATTGTCCAAATAGTTGAGTCAGGAGTTCGGCCCAAAGTGTTGGTCCATTTAATGTTAATTTAGCTTTTTACATATTTCGCCAACGTTTAAAGCGAATCAAACATTTTTGTAAGCAATCATAAAATTCGTTTATTCGTGGTTAATTACATGCAAAAAATAATTTTTAGTAATTATTTATCATTATTTTATTTATTGATCATCGAATAGTTTTTGAAGGTTTTCAAGTTTTCACATTACTTTAAAGAGTAAAATTTTACAAGGCAAAATACTAAGTTTGAACGAAATTGGTCGAATGGTTCCTGAGAAATCGGTTTTTTTTTTTCAAAAATTTAATGTTGCATTATATTTAAGGTCACCGATTTAAATCATTAAGATTGAGTCTTAGCACGTGAAAATCCAATCACTAAATCAAATATTATTCAAGCTGTTCCATTTTTTATTTATCTTTTTTATTATTTTTATTTATTTATTTAATTTGTTCACAGACAGTTTCTGTTGTTTGTAGAATTTTAAGAAACATTCTTTCTTGTGTTCAAGAAATTGAAATTACTTTGATAACTGCGAGCAGAAAATTTCTTTACCCAGAGTGTGGCAGTCTGGGGCTCTGAAGCAATATCTGATATTCTTGAGATTTGAGAGCAGCGTGTACTTATATTAAATGCTAGCAAGCGATTTGTTCAGAAGGAATAAAACAGTCCTTAATTTTACTATTTTTTGTTTTCTTAACATTTTAAATTCTTAACATTTCAACTCTTAACATTCAAGTTCTTAACATTTCAAATGTAAAAATAGACACTTTGACATGCATATGGGACTTGTTCTTTTAATTTCCCAATCTTTGCCATTTATTTCTAGTAAAGGTAATTTAAAGTATTTTTGAAATTGAAATTGTTTTATGAATAGTAATTGATATAAGAAAAAAAAACTCATTTAGCTTACAAAAATGCCATTTTTTTGGTGGTAAATGTTTTTAACATGACCAACTAGGAACTTATTGACTTTTATTTTTCTTTATTTATAAAATAAATTTTATAAATGCTGCAAACTTCAAAAGGAATTATGTATTTTGTAACTTTTATACGTTTTTTCAAACTAAGAAATAGTTAGCAATTTTATTCAAACGCACTTCAAGAAAGCTGAAGTTATTAACAAATGGAAACCTAAATTAAAAGTGGTGGTAAGTATACTTCCCACGGCCTTCGAAAGGGTTAAACAAGAAACGAATTTTTATTTTGGGGTATTCCAATATCACAGGTAGAAAAAAAGATTTAAATCAAGTAAATTTCTTTGTGCTTCTGGTTGAGATTACTAAGTTGACGAATTTTTACTTCCAAGTTAAAATTTTAAAAATATAGGAAGGACTTCACGTATTAGTTATTTTCAATAAAATATAAGTGACTTAGAAGTATTTTTATGAAATTCGCAAACTAGTTTCAACTAATGAAGAAGAAAAAAATACCTGTAATGGTCTTTAACTAAATTGGCAGCTCTTTCATCGTTGAATTTTCTTGCTCTTAAAAAACGAACTAGAAACTCTTCATCTGTTCTTGTATTTAGATCCTTTTCTTCTGTTAAAAAAACAAATAAATAAAAACAGAAAACTTTATATGTTTCTTACATTTGCTTTATTGTTTCTACATACATACAGGAATTTGACAAAAATATGGAAAATCAATCCATGAAAAAAATTTTTTAGTTAACAGCAAATGTTTCGGAAGATTTTGCATGGAAAAATTGTTGGCAAAATTCTAAAGATCATGCTTGAAGCTTTGAGAAGTGGTGTCATTTTTACCCCTGTAAAATTTGCATTGATCAAAATGAGCCTGGACTTGCATTGACTAAAATCGAGCTTCGTTGTTTGTTTACAATTGTATACTCATTTAACGTGACGTTTAATGTTATATTTCTTGCATATTGTATTAATGTTATATCTTTACCGATGATATTCCCGCTATATGGTACACAGACCTACACATTTTTTATTTTAATATAAGTACAGATTAGTATAGATAAATACTAGTGAGCATTTTTTTTCTGTAGAGTAGCGTGAAATTTTTGTACGGATTTCGCGTTTTCGCGTCGCTGATTTCAATTCTGACTTTGGTTTCTTTCGGAAAGCTAAAATTTTTGTGCAATTAAGTAATATATTTTTAACCAGGATTTTTTTAAAATTCATTCGAGTGAATTCTAATTGGCCCAACTTCTTTGCAACCTAGGGAGTGGTAAAAAGTGGGTGATAATACCTTTCAGTTTATGATGTTATACAATAAGTTCATACTTTTTTGGTGTTTGGCGTAATTTTCAAAGCCGACAAGTGTTTAAGCACATAAATCTATAAATTCTTTATTAACTTGCAAATTCAGACATAAAATAAAATAAACTAGAACTATCATTTTGAAAAGAAATCAGGTGAAAATGGTGACTGCTCAATGTATTCTTTTTGGATAGGTAGAAAACTTAAAGCGATCCAGTTTTTCTCACAAGAAATCCAGTTTGTTGGGCTGTCGTCAGCATAAAATTAATAAAAATTAAAAATTGAAGGCGGAATAACACTGAATTGGAAACTACTTCGCTTTTTGCAAAAGGTTTTATTAATTTGTTGCGAATAAAAAAAATAAAAATTTCGGAATAAAGGATAATTTTGTCTACTTTTTTAATCAACATTACGAAGGAAGAAAAAGATACAGCTAAGTTAAATTTCATTTGAAATTTGGAATTTTTTTAAAATTAGTGATGGAAAGATGACTTAGAATCGATTTTACTTAACACAAAATAATTTAAAACTTCGCTAGTGCTAACAATATTATTTTTTTACAAAGTTCAGCATTACATCTCTGAATTGTAAAACATTGTTAAGAATTAAAGTTTTGCCCTAATACTAAAAAATCTCATTCGTGAAAAACAATCCACTAATTTTTATAGTAACTAAAAAATTCATGGGAATCTAAAGAAAAACAAAAGATTAAATGCAATGGTAACCAAGTGATTTAGCTTAACTTTTATTCCTTTAAAATCTAGAACTAATTCTGAGCATAATAAAACATTGTATTGCGTGTAATACAATGTTTTATTATGCACAGATTTAGTTATAAAATCCGTGCATAATAAAACATTCAGATTAATAAAACATTTTGAAGTCTCTCAATTTGAAAGTTTTTAATTTAGACTCAAAACCGAGGACTTTGACTGGAAATGCTTCTATCCGTAAACTAGACTGAAAGTGTTCCGACTGTACATAGTCCAGTCACCTTTGGATGGATTTCAAAAACAATAAAAATCAAAAACAAAAAAAAAAAAAAGAATGCAAGGATCATTTTCATTAATGCTAAATTCTGTTCATTAATCCGGTTTTCTCATGACGTCATCACATTTCTTCACACATCGTTCTCAGCATTTCCACAACAACAACAAAAATGACACTAACAAAAACTAAAATCGTTTGAGAAAAACCATGTAACTTTAATAACATTTTGAGGTCAGTGGAGGTAACCCCTAAGAACGACCAACCTCCATTAACGACCATTTTTATCGTGGATCAGAGAGTGGTCGCTAATGAGAGGTTTCACTGTACCTGAAAGTAATGATGAGCAAAATCACTTAAAAGTTACTATTAAACGGAAAATACGACATTAAACCCTTAGTTTCGCTATCACTAGAAAAAAAAAGGTTTTCTCAAAGCGGAGCAAGTTTGAAAAGTTGTAAATTTATTGATCAAAAGCTCTCTTACTTGATAAATATTTTCTCACTCTATCAACATGTTTCCTCCTCTCTTCTGGTCTTTCATTTAGTTCTTGTTTAGCCTTGCGGAGATCTTCTTTGGTTATGGTGGTGTCTAGGAGGGGCCTATAAACAGCGCCATCAACTTTTATCGTCCGAGCACTGTCCATTCTAAAATTAAAAAGAAAGTGAGTTTTTGTGTGATTTTTCAAAGTAAAAACACGTGTCTTACAAAAATCGACCTGCTACAAAGGATTCATTCAATACTTCATGTTCATGGCATGTTCCAGGTTGGCAATAAAAAGTAGGACGCGATAACCAAACTATTAAGTGCATTAAGGATTCGTTCACTACTTTATTTTCATGGCATGTCCCACGTTGGAAACAAAAAGTAACACGCGGTAACCAAACTATTAAGCGCTTTAAGGATTCATTCCATACTTCATTTCCATGGCATGTTCCAGGTTGGCAACAAAAAGTAATACAAATTGACAAACTATTAAGTGCATTGAGGATTCATTCAATACTTCATTTTCATGGAATGTCTCAGGTTGGCAACAAAAAGTAACAGAGAACTAAACTATTGTGTTAGCAATTTATTTGTAAATTGCAGTAACAATTATTCAACACTGGCTATTCCAAATGAAAATGTTGCGAAAATCCCAACAGCAGATTTAGATAACATATTTTTAAATTAAAGCGAGAGATTAAGCCAAAATGTATCATATTAGTAGGACTGACAACTTTCTATGCTTTTAGGGAATATTTTTTTCTAGTGGCAGTTTTAATGTGTGTTCAGTGTTTGGCAAGAATTAAAGTTAATTTTCACACCACTACACGTAAACGATTCAAAAGTTCATATAAATGCCACCACTTTGTTCCAGATCACTTTAGGAGAGACTCTTAAAATGTTGTTGAAATTGTCTAAATTCTGAAAGTATTAATTGCTCAACAATTCATAAAAAATTTAGCAAAAAGCGTACTAGTAGGCAGTTTTTGCATTAGTCATACGCACATATTTTTGCTAACACTTTTTAATTTTTTCCATTGATTAACGCTTCACTGCTTCCGCTTAACGTGTCAACTCGTTGAAGAATTTATAAGCAGAGTTTATGTCTATAAGAAATATTTAGAAGCAAAAGGGTAATATTAACACGTTCAGGCCAGGGTGACGTTAGATTGTATCATCTTGGCNTAATAAAATTAGTTATTTTAAATATATATATGCATGTATTCAAAATAACTAATTTTATTTATTTTTTATTTTTAACGTTTTTTTATGTACTGTTTTTTTTCCTGCATAATTCTATAAATCATGACCAAATCGTAATAATAGTATTTCAAACTATCAAGCTAGATAGCTTGAAAATTTCAAAAAAAAAAAAAAAATTATAACTGTAACATCTATTTTTGATAGTTATATTATTTATGATTACACACTCTGAATTATATAAAGTTCAAGTCATTAGAAATAGAGACGCACATGAAAAATTTTAACCTAGAAAAATATAATTTAATATAATTTTATAATTTTTATAATAATAATATAATAATAAAAATTAATAAATAAATATGGTTTTTGTAATTTTCTTACAAAATTTAATTATTTTGTTTGAATGATTTTAAATATCATCGCTTGTAAAAATTGTGTTTCATTAGCGCTGATAGGTATAACCTTAATAGATTTAAGTGAGAATGCTACAGAAACAGATCAAAATAAATATTTTTTTCCTTTTTTAATTAAAGGAAATATATGTTTATTGGGAAATTGTTTTCAAAATTTCGGTAACTTTTCTTCAGAATTTTTTTTTTTTTTTTTTAAATTTTTAGTTTGATCATGAATTTTCAATAATTTTTTAGAGTTCAAGCCTAGGCCTACATGAGTAAAGAGTATGATCATAATTAGTATTTTTATTATTTTAGGTCAGTATTTACTATCTCAATAATCTTTGGAAAAAAAATACTAAAAAACGAAATAATAAATGCCAAAGTGAAAATAAACGTGCAAAACTTTACGAGAAGCTGAATTATTACTCCATAAATTTAACAAAAAATATTTTAGTGCTGCCATCTAGAGTGATAAATATTGACTATTAGAACAAGTTTAATGCTTTGAACAAACAGTTTTAGTGCTGCCATCTACTGAAATCAGGAGGCTTTTAAATAAAATATTTATTCATCATAGGAAAGAGTAATACTTAGCACTACGTACAGTAAAGCAAAAAACAGCGTGAATAAAGCAGAAAGAAAGTGTACACTTTGACGCACTTTAGTTATAGTTAAAGCTATACAATTGACCTACAGTTACAGTTAAAGCTATACATATAATAACAGGTGATCTCCGAAGCTGGGATTCAACCAGTTCTATTATGTAACAAGCTTTACTTTATGCATTTCCGAGGAAGGGAAAATATTTTCGCACGCTTCAGAATTGGTTTTTATTTATGTTAAGAGCAAGACTTTTTTATGAGTATTGTGTTAACATTTTGGTCTTACTCTCGCTTAACAGTTAACTCAGCTGTGTCTCAAAAAGAAAAAAAATTAGCTAGTTTTCCATTTGCAGGGATACCACAGAGACGACTAAAAATGTAAGAAACGGTAGACACTCAATTCTATCCATATTTAATTAATCAATCGTAACTGCCACTATGACTTAGATTATAAATTATTCATATTTAACCCTAAATGTACCAACACTTCATGTATACCTATTTCTACCATAATCGGTCAAATGACCGGACTTAATGTTTCTTGATTGAATGTATGAAATATGGATGCTAGGAAGAAAATAACCAAAAAAAACTTTATTATAATTAAACAAAATTTCAGATTGCTAATTTTTATGTATTACAAACACAAAGAATAAGAATTTTTAATTCACTGCTCAAAGCATTTTGTACGTATACAAGGGTTTCCATTGTACATTTTCCGCAAACATATTTCTTCTAATTATTATTATTTCAATAATTATTATAATTATTCTTATAATTATTATAATAATATATAATAATTATAATTATTCTTATAATTATAATAATATATAATAATTATAATAATTCTTATAATTATATTAATATATAATAATTATAATTATTCTTATAATTATAATTATTATATATTACTAGGAGGCTTCGCCCCCTGCTCGCTGGCGCTCACCAACCCCCGGAACTGCTT